GATTCTGTGATTCTGTGATTCTGTGATCACGAAGGATAAGTCACCACTTTTTACAATTTTGGTTTGTTGTACTGAAGAATATTTTCTTTTGATAGAGATTGGGACACTGTTGGTCATGCTGCTGGAAGTTAATGAAAAATGTTAAGCTGTAGTCACATTACAGTATCGGAGGAGTTGTTTCATGCTGAAAATCATGGAAGGAACACACAAAGGCAAGAAAAAAGAGGGAATCGTTCTTAGCATATGGCCTCATTCTCTGAAAACATGGCAAATCTGTTAATAGTACCTTAACAAGCAGGTAGGTCAGACTAAGTGCAGAAGAGTTAACAATTTTGCTCCCATTTTGATGGAATTAGGAAAAGTCTGTTGAAGTTATCCCCTCTGAAACCTTCCTGAGCAGCCCAAAGAGCACAGAGAAATGTTCTATCTCTTTATGAAATATGCTGAACTGTTGCCACTTCCTATGTTCTACATAGTGGTCATTGTCATTTGGAGGAACTTTGCTCTGATTCATACCAACCTCAAATAATGCTACTCTCCTATGTGACCTGTAATAGTAATACTTCCTTAACCCTTGTGTTTCTCTGTACCGGGGACATAAGTAATCCCGATGAAACTTCAATTAAGCAGTTTCTGGAAACAGCTCTATGTTTGCAAAACGGTGTCTCCATGTAGAATAGCTATGTAAGGTTTATTTTTGAGCTCAGTCACACTCCTGGATTTCACTCAAAAAAGATCACATTTATGGGCTTCTATTTATCAAATGCTCTGATGCATTTATAAACAAAGCATTAACATATGCATTAGCAAGGGACAATATTTGAGATTATTTGACAAAGCTGGAAGCAGCTGAAATCAGTAATTTTACAGCTATGTATGTTAAGTGTAAATGCGCCCTGTAAACTCTTTGCATCCCTCTTCAGTTTTGTTTGCCTTCCTGGTGTTAAAGATCATCTGGTCCAGCCTATCTGCATGAGATAATGCATTGGTAATGCATTTCATCAATGCTCACAGTGGTTTCTGACAGTACAGCCCCTCTGTCAGCTTGCTGCACTGCGCAGGATGTGGAGCAGTGTGCCTTGGCTTTTTCCCAAGTGCCGCCCATGCGCAACAGAGGGTTGAAAACTTCTGCTTGCAGGAAAAGAGTTATGACCAAAATTAGGGTCAGGCCCCAACAGTTACTGAGGTGGAACCATTCTGAACTGGGATAAAATAGGGCGAAGTGTCAAATTTTGGTAAGACAATATGGCAAATATTTTGATTGGAGCATCAGTTGTGGTTGTAACCTCTTCTGTGGTCTGTATGTGTTTTGAGCACACAGGATTACTAAGCAGTTGTGAGCAGTGGTGCTGGAGTTGGTTGAAAATGTCTGAGCACCATCCAACTTACACATAAGCAAAATCTTAAGAACTGAAAAAATGTGTAGCCTTTATGTTAAATGAAAACGCTAAGTAGTTGTATTTTTTTGAATGCCAGTTTTTTTAATGATAGATAATTTTTTTGTTTATTTACTTGGTCAGTTACACAGTTTGCTTTGTGAAGGAGGGGAACTAATTTCCACAAAACTTAGATTACTAAACACCACAGTATAAACGTAGAGAATTTATCACTATATTCCATGTAATTTCTTGGCCAAAAATATTGTCAGAACCAACCTCTTCCCCCCCCGATGAATTACTTTTTGCCATTAAATGTGGTAATTTCCTGATATGTTTCCTGAGAATTTTTGAGGAATGAATATAGTAAAGGAATGTATTTAGTGAATAATTCATTTCTAATTATTCGTTCATTCTGGCTAAAACATCTCCAGTGTGTTCAAGATATTTAACAAGAAATTCTTTTCAATCAGGAGTTGACTTGCTTGCATTCTTCTAATCTCTGACATTGCAAATTCTTCTTGAGACTGGTGATTCAAAAGGCCATCTGACATTTTTTAAACCTAGGTAAAACATTCGATCATCAAAAAAGTGGGGACATTTTTGAATCCTTGGGCCTGTTTACTTCTCGTCTCCCTTAAAGAACATAGAGATAGATTCTTGTATCTAATTTTCTGCCTTCCTGTTCCCTCTTTCTGCAAGAGTAAATATTATCAGTGGTCAAAATGGAAAGTTAGACTTCCTAATATGGAGATACAAACAAACTTCTAGGGAATATCTTAGTACGCCAGAGTGTGTTTGTATAGGTTTGACATTCTGGTTAAGTACCAGTCTGGTATAGTATACAATATTCATCTGTTTTGATCTCTGAACGTCTCTTAAAGGCAAGGAAATGCATGATGTTGTTAATCAGCTCAGACCAATACTCTACAGTTAGAGAAGATAAGGTGAATTATTGTAATTCAGTGCATTTGTATCTGCTACCTCAGAAACTGAAAGTCTTTTTGACTGTACTAAAAAAAAACCAACATGAAAAATTGTACCCTAAAATCTAATCATCCTTGATTCCATTTCAGCAGAACATTGGAAAAGATGAATGTATCAATGGAGCAGAAATTTTCTCCATGGTTCCAATTCTGTTTTACTTGATCTGAATATTTTTCATTTCAGACTAAACCCTTATGAAATTATTGTTACTTGGAATGGACTCTTGGCAGATGTAATCCTGATTTTACTTTTGGCTACATGTGCCCAAAGCACTTAACTTATTTAACTCTTTTTTGTCTCCTACATTCTACATTATCTTGTCCAATGGTGTACTAGGACTGGGGAGACCAACTGAGTAAATCTCTCCAGTGGACAGCGAAATTTGCAGCTAGGGAGAGTGAGGTGGTGAGGATCTCTCAAAGAATTATTCCAATAATACATTTCTATGGTGTATTGCCTGTTTTAAAATACAGAAGGATCAAAATAAAGTTAATATGCAGAACTACACAGCCTTTCCATGTTGTAGTGATTGTACTTTGGGACAAACTTTTAGCCAGCTTATTTATCTGGCTATTAATATATATCATTGGTACTCTGAAGAGATCGTTTTAAACAATAGATGGTTAGCACGTAGTTTATCTTCTTGGTAGAGAGTCAGGAGTCAAATAGATTAAAAAAGGAGAATAAAACCTCTCACAACTGTAATGAAGCAATATACACAGGGTTTTCAGGCTGCAGTGCTGTGATTTTGCTACTGTCAATAACTGCTATATTGACTCCAATTATAATAAGTAAAATCAATCTATGACCTTTTTCTGTGTAGTGAACCTTGAATATCCAGTTTAATTAGACTGGGGTATCAGTAAATTGCTTTTTATAAAAAGTATATATTAGCAGTACAGCTTGCAGATACTTGCCCATTTTTTTCCTGGTAAAGTTCAAAAAAATTAAAGGCAGTATAAGGAGGCAATTTCCTGTTGAAAACATTGAGTGCCATCTGTAAGGCAACAATGGTAGCTGCATGCTGTAAACAGAAGAAACCTTTAATTAAAATCCTATTGAAATGATTGCATGTACCTATTATTTAACAATATGTCCAGCACATTATCTGTCCACTTAACATTACTTGTGTGGCCTCATTAAAGCTTGTCCTCTGCTCGCTGCAATGCTGAGCAAATACTGTCCTTTTATGTCTGTACAAACTGAAATGCTGCATGTATAAAGTATACATATATGTAAATATTTAAGAAGTCTTCGTCACTTGCAGTTGTTATCAAAGTTAGTAGGAGCTGTTAAAACTTCTTTTAAAAAGAACTAGGGGTTTTGCTTGTTAAGTAAACAGTATTTGAGATCAGATCAGTAAGCTCCTTGGCTGATACATAATTGAAAGGTCATAATCTACATACATCTTAGAAATAGGAGCGTTTACCTGAGAGCAAGCAAAAAAATTTTCTTCTCCAATGGCAGTGTTAAATAAAAATATTAAGTCCCAGTTGAGTAACTGCCTTCATAGACCTTCTAAAAGAACTAATTTTAACTTCATTTATCTTTTTTTTTTTTTTCCTTTTGCATCTGAAAAAGATGCTGGAAGCAGGAGGTTTGTTTCAAAATTATCTTTGTGATAGAGGCTAATGAAACATTAGGCATGGTTTTTCCAGTTCTCTGCTCAATCAAAACAATATTACAATGAAACAAGCCATGCATCAAGTGGAAAACGAAATGTTACAGACTTCAAAGTAGTATCTTTTCATTAAAGAAGGAAAATAATACTATTATATTTAAGGTTAACGAAATAAAAAACGCTTATAGTTGTATTTCATAGAGGAAATAAGGTTTCATGGCTTTCATTGCATTTAATAACTGCAGAAGGGGAGCGTAAAAGAAACAGAAAGGACTCACCACAGAATACATAACCATTTTTTGCTGGTGTGAAGGTTTTCTAGCATCTGAGATATGCTTTAGAATAGTTTTTAAAAGAATACCTGAAAGAAAATGGGGAAGCAATGACAATTAAAAGGATGCTTGTGTTAACATCTGTATCACTTGTTCCTGTTTAAACACGAGCTCTCTTCGAACGCACCATATTTATTCCATGGACTTTATAAATAATTTGTGCAAAGTGCCCTGGTTAGTTCTGATACTATCTTTTATATGAACAATGGGTGTATTTTGCTTCCATGTAAAATGTTTTGGGGATCCCTAATACCCTCAGCTTCAAACAGTGCATTCACAGTTGCTTTGTGCCAACGGAAGCTTACAAGAAGAGTACAGTAATGAGTACTACCCTTTTTCGTACTTCCTGATTTCCAGAGAGGATATCGTTTGGATCTTGGGCCTTCTTAAATTATGTGTTTGTCTGTATTTTGTTAATATTAACTGCTAAAAAGTTGTAAGACAAAAACTATATGAATTAAATCAATGGTTGTGCTAGTATGTTAGCATAAGGTTGGAATCTTGACAAATTAAAATCCTAAAATGAGAACTGCACATGTTAACAGAACGAGACACTTGTATTGTCTTCAGCTACTGGCACATTTTAAAATAGAAATTGCTAATAAAGCAAGTGGAGGTTTGAACTTTGTGATTAGTTTTGTAAGTTGGAGCTCCAAAAAGGCAAACAAATTAATCCCTGCTTATGTGTGATTTGTCCTTGTAGCTCACAGAGCCTAACTGTACAGTGTCCATAGAAAACAAAAACAAGGCCCAAAGGGTGACAACAGATGAATGGAGAAGAATGAGTGATTAAAAAAGTATAAACTATTTTTAAATTTCAGCTACTATTTGCTGAGCTGAATAAAGTTTAGGAACAGTTCTCATTTTAGTTGTCTCAGTAATGGAATATGAAGACTGTTAAGCAACGAAGTTACTGTCCTGGAGATTGTTGCAAACAATATTTTGTTAAGTAAGTCAAGCGTTGTGTCTTACGTTAAATTCAGACTTGATTCAGTTCAGCAATAACCTATATATTGCTTTGTATTTCTTAAACGGTGTAGCCAAAATGGTACCTAATTTATAACGTTGGATTAGGATATTAATTATTCATATTCTCACAATCTCTCTTACCATTAATCAAAGCCTTTCAGTACTGATCACCAGTATCTACATCATGGCATCTTTCACAGTTCTACTATAGAATTGATAGCAGTGTTTATTATATACCCTTTCTTCTTTCCCATTCTACTCTTGGTTTTAAATGGGGTAAGAATTCAGCTTACCTCCCTGTAAACATGATTTTTGTATTTGTTTGTGGAAGCCAATTTGGCCTGCAGTAACAATTCTGAGAGCTTTATCAACTTGGTCCTGACACCATGAGTAGCCCAAACAGGTAAAGTGTAATTGTTAGTATCCTACAGTAAAGAAAGAAAACACGGTTATTTTTCTTACTGATTCCTACTGCTAACTGTTGTTTGTTCTGGCACAAAATGCTCATCAGAACAAATTCTGACTGTTTCACTCCGGTAACATTTTCTCTTTATAATAAAATAATGACTGTAGACAGTTAGACAGCTGTAGACTTCTTATTTATAGCATCACACTACTTAAAACAAATTTGAAGGGCACAGTTCAACAAGAAGAGGAAATGTAATACTAAAAATGATGCAAAAAGCAACTGGCTTTATTCATGACAATTGCTGATGTAGTTGTCAAGTGCAAAAAATTCACTATGACTCTATTTTTCAGCCACCTACTGGGATATATCCTGAGTTCTTTACTGAAACAAATCCTATACAGATGTCAGGATTTTAAAGGCTGGCAGCCCTGAGGTATAAGTGAGATTCAGAGATCAAGTAGGAATATGTATAGCTGTAATTCAAATGTACTGGACTATAAGATATATATATAGGGATTAGATATATAGGTGGAATTCATACCTACTTATACCAGATCTAGTGGACACTGATGCAGTTCCCAAGCTAAAGTGGAATGGATTAATCTTTCCTTAGGGATGCAGCCCAAGATATATTAATGGTCACAACTATGAGAAGGAAAGATAAGCCCAACACTCCTGGTTTGCACCACCCTGAATTCTTGTTTAAACAAGGTTGGTATCTTTAGTTCAACATAACCTCTGTGAATGTGAGCCATTGGACTGAGGTCACCAGGCAGAGTGCTCTTGTAACAGCAAGTTGGAAGGAACAATGCCAAATCTTTAAAGGATTTGTTTAAATAAGTGAAACAATAGAACATGTTAGGTTAAACAAGCTCAGGTCACAATGTATCACATTCTTTTTTAACAAAAGTTATTTGTATTGTGAGGCAAGAATTGGTTAGTTTCATGCCATATGAGACAATGCTGTAGGCAAGCAAGCACTTCAGCCTCCAGGTTACCTTGAAGTTAAGATGACACTTAGCCCATAATAAGAAATACAGAGATACATGCTACTGTAATATCATTAATTGTGTTTAAAAACCTACGTAATAAAGCTCTCTTTTTATGCTTGAAAGTGTCAGAGTGGCTTTTGTGCCATATGTCTTAATTGATACCCCCAGAATCTTCACTGGGTAGCATGAAAGACCAAATCTAACACTAAAAGTAAAAACCCACCTAATTGATTTGGTCTTCCAGCATTTAGACCCTGCTGGGAGCTGTCAACTTTGCACATTTATCTGGTGACACAGGTTTCTCAGTATGATATAACAACTGAAATAAAAAGTTGTGGTCCTGAGCTGTCCTGCATCTGGAAAATAGGGAAGGGTGACCTCACTGAAATTACATTGAGGTGTCCCAACATGTTAACATTTAATTTAACATAAGGCCCTAGCTAACATTCCATTCAAGACTGCTTTGACCAAAGTTGGACCTTTGCAGAAACTGCAAGACAGAGGTAAAACTCATTAGCATCACAACCACATATTACATGTAGCTTGTGCAATCCACCTCAAGACTGCCTCAGTTTTCTAGGGGATATATCAGTACTGATGAAAAATTTATCATTAATATCTGACTTTTAAAATAGCTATGCATTAAAGCATTTGTAGTGAATGCTGCCTGCAACAATACATTTTTAACACAAGACTGGAATTTTCACTTGCTTCACCTGAAATAAGTCTAGATTTTGAAGTGAAATGAAGTGGGGCTTTTTGCTAAATTAAGGGCGCTCATGATTTTTTCAAATCCCAGTCAGAGGTACCCAGCTGTGAGACCCAAATACCCATGACAGTTGGGCATTACAGTATCCCTTCTGTTCTAAAATCTATGCTTCTTTGTGATATGGCAGGTTCCCAGACTTGCACAAATACTCATTTGTGTCATTCCAATGGCTGCTCAATTCCTGAAAATATTCTGACCACTGCTGTCTATATGCAAATAATGACTTCTCTTGCTTATACAATTTGCATAAAATCTTTGTGGAAGGATGCTTATGTTTCTTTGCCAGCAACATATTTTATTCCTGTGTATCTCTATGATGGGGTTTGGAGGAGTACAATTTTACCTAAAGGTATGCTTTTTGCCTAATTTTCCATATGCAGTCACTGACAGAATACTGGATTTGGTAGGTTTGTGTTCCTTATAGTGGTAGAAAGCCCACAACAGCCTCACACAGTCACAGTGTCTTTACAGGATTTTCGGTTGTAAATTTGATGTTAGGAGACAGTTTCTGGGGAAGGAGATAAAAATAGTCTGTAATTCAAAAATATTTGGAACAGACCTACTCTCTTTTGATGTCTTACAAACAATAGAAATAAGGGTTAAAATCAGTTTTGAGGATGTGCAAGTATTTCTATGGGACGTTGAGAATTTTCTTTGTATTATTTACCTCATACTGTAAAGTGTTAGAAATCTTCCAAATTCTTTCAGTGTTCAACTTCTTTAAGGGGTAACCTGTGTGAGTGGCTAAAAACTTCAGAAATGGCTGAAATACAAAAAAGCAAACTTGTAGTACACAGGACCTTTCAACATAATTTCTAAATACTGCCATACTACTACATAGGAATTTTTAAAAACAAGGTAGTCTTTGCACTTAAACAATGGACCATTGCCTAGTCGTAAGAGAATCTGACCTATTAATCTAGGCTGAGGAATTGAGTTCAGATTTGAAGGATGGTGGTGGTTTATGCTTGGTGGAAATGTTCAGAATGGGGTAGAGTAGAGGGGACACGGATATATGAGGAAGTCTGGCAGAAATTGAAAAGTGCTTAAAGGAATTGTGAATAAACAGAATTATTCTTGATGTTGGTACTGAGCAGAAGGGAGATATAATGTAGCTTTGCTAAAACTGGGAATTATGATTCACTTGCATATAGCAACCAGGTGCAGAGCCACAGATAGATGGCTGAGGTCAGTGCTTAAAGATTATAGAAAAACAGGTGAGTTTGATAGTGTGATTTTGAATAAACCTGTGATGAAGGAGGTTACAGCAGAATAGACAAGTGATTACACACTCATGGCAAATATTTTGATGGTGGAGAAAGACAGGAAACGATACCTTACAAAGGCAAGAACGAAACTTGAGCACCTGAATGAAGACTTTGGGTTTGAAACATGGACAGATACTCAAGGAAAGCACTGAGACTGTTATTGAAAATATGGGAAATTGAGCTATGAGTGTTTTGTGGTGGAAGAGGAATCTGAACTAGCAGAGAGTTAGACTGAAATGTCAGAGAAGTTGCTTTACATGGGAGTAAAGAGAGAGAGGTATCGGGGTGATTTGAAAGATATTGGCCCTGATTTGGTCTGAGGTTTTGGTTTGTCTACTCCTCTAGAAGGTAGGTGGACTTTTTTTTTGCAAGGTAGTCAATAATTTATCTTTTCTATGACTTGCAATTTCAATTGATGGGAATAGTCTAGTCCAGCTGGATCTATAATGTGGTAACTGTTTTTTGGATATGTTTTCTACACCCAGTGTGAAGATCAGAGATCTAGAAGGAGGATATTGACTGCCATCTTTTAAATCTACCTGTTAGATAATGTTGGCAGGGGTGATAATTTTTAACTAGATTTCCAGAACTGAAAATACTTTACCCTGTACTGTTTGAGTTGCCTTTGGAAATCCCCTGTTGCAAAGGTTTCTCTCAGAAGCTCATTGTGTTTTGGGCAGTGTGAGAAAAGTAAGTATAGCAACTGAAAAGAAAATTTCAAAACATTAGTTAGGCAATGTGCTTCTTGTTCTGCAATTCAATATACCCTTGCAGGATCGTTATTCTGATTGGCTGCACTGATTAGGACAAGCTGAAAAATAATTTGGGAATGTAGTTTTCAAGGACATTCGTCTTCAGGACTGTAAGAGTCATACTGATGACTACTTACAAAATAATCTTTAAATGTTCAGAGGAGTAATAGCTGCAGTAGTTCAAAGTGAAAGGATTTATTTACACAAGTTGAAACTTGTCCCCTGACAGAAGACTAACGCAAGCCCTCATGAACTGCTTTGTGCTTGGCTTGTCCACGGATGATTTCACTTAGTGTGTCCAGTCTTTCTTTAAACACACCATCACATTTTTATAACAAATTACCAAGCAACAGCTGGACTGCAATAGGAGCCTTTGTGCATACTCAGCTGTATTATGTAGACTTACCACAGCCTCATTTAGTTCAGCTAAATCCTAGAAACTTGTGAAGTTTCCATAACTCAGTTTTGTTTTTTATTAATTCAAGACATACGAAGGTTAAAGGTTACAAGTGAGTAGCATAACTTAAGAATTTTTTAATTCATTTTTCTAAACTGAGTTTATCCTTGTTTGAAGTTTTTTGTGTTAAATTTTAAACAAAAGTTAAAACAAAATTTGACACTGAGATATTCTTAGCATTTTTCCCCAATGTTTTTTGTCCTTTTTTCAATAATAAAGCTCTATCTTGTATAGTTTCACAGTTAAAAGAATTTTTAAAAGAATTTGAGAGTCCTAAAGGGATAATTAGCTTGGAAAGTTTCATAGCAGTTCCTTGATCTTTTTAGAAGTATAATTTGTCTATTCCAGATGGTAAGAAAGTATTTCTGAATTATAACCATAGGTTCATGAACAGGCATGTCTTTACTAATAAAAGATGGACACTTGTTTAGGATAGTAGGATGCATGTGGTCTCAATCTTGGCCTGTATATGGAGTAAAGAATAGAGTTAAAACACAAATAGTTGAAAAAAGTATGAAAAATGTGTATGTGTTCATGACTTTATGATTTGTTTGAATAGACTTATTCGCTTCCCTAGATGTGAATAAGGTGTAGCACCTACTTGCTGAGCTTGGTAGTGGTGTTGCTACTTGTCAGGTATTCTTGACTTTTTGCTGGGGTACCACCATCTGTGATAGTGTCAGAAGCAGCTCCTGACTCTATGTCAGACTGTGTGCATGAACAGGAAGACACGTGTCTCCATATCCTCCTTCTTTACGCTCTCATCATCCCAAGATGAGCACCATTGCTCCATGTTCCTATTTAACCTGATTTCCCTGTCGTCATAGATTGTGTTAACTAGACTTGTAAGCCTACACAATTTACCTTTCATTCTCCCCAAACCTCCTCTCCCAAACTGGGACTCATGCTGTACACTCCTGATCTTTTCTAGCTTTTTACCATAGGTTTTTCCACAAATGGGAAAATCCAGCTCCACTCAGCTGCCCAGCTTTTCCCTGTAGGACAAGTATATGCAGGCTACAGAGCTGCTATCCATACAATTCCTTCCAACTCCAAGGTGAGGAGTTTAGGAAGGGACTAGATGATCATAATGGTCTTTTCCAACCAAACTATTCTATGGTTCTATGGATATGAATTAATACATGACCCTGTGAACACCTCCTCTTAAATCTCCAAGTCCTTCTTCCTTTTCCCTTTTACTTTTTCCACCGACACTCAAAGAGCCTGCACTGACCTTCAAAGTGCACGAAAAACAGACTTGTGACTCAGTTCTCACTGTAATGAAAATCTCAGCATAATTCTCACTCATAAGTGTGTGATCACAGTCAGTGCTTTGAACATAAATCTGAAGAAAAAAAAACAAAACAAACCCCAAATTTTTGAAGGTCATTTCTTCTGTTAGGTTTTTTTTTTTTCTTTTGGATAGGAAAGAAGGGGACTGGTACTGTTCCAGGGAGGAAAGCAGAGGGAGAAAGAGTTAAACTGGAATAGGGCCTTGGAATGAAATTTTGGTGGACAAGGGAGCTGCAACATGGTAGCAGTTCCCTTAGAAGTCCTCGTGAAAAGCATAAGACTGACTCTATTTGACCATCTAGGCTTTGAGACATCATGTGTGCACTGAACAGCTGGATCCTAAATGAAAACTAAGCTGTATCTGCACCCCATGTGGAAGTGTAAAATTGGAGATATCTGAACTAGATATTCTGCCATAAAATAGTGAGGCATCTGAACCTGATATACAGCCTAAAAAACCTTTCACATGGTTTTCAGTTAACCATCAGTCTAAATAAAAGTTGAGCCACTGTTTCAGGGATACTTTGAAATTACATTAATTCAATGGTTATTAAGTTATCTCCAACCATACCAGGTTCAAACTTTCCTACACTCAGAAAGTCCTATTAACATCCACGAAAAATATCCTCCCAGATCCAGTACTTGCCTCACACTGCTTGCATACAACGCTCAGGAAATAAGAGTATCTCCTCTGCAGGTACTGGCCAAACTCATACTGTTGCTGTATGCCAAGCTGTAGAAGTAACAGAACAATGTAAGAGGCTCAAGAAGTATGCCATGCACACATTCCTATGACCAAAAAAAAGAGATAATATTTTGCATTATTTTGGTAAAGACCTTTTTCCCTTCTAAAGTGAAAGAGGACAGAAGACAAAAGAAAAAAGCAATAAAGTTGCTGCATTTACAGTATTTGATAATATGTTCTTCCTGACAGATGCTGTTTTGCGTTTTGCACTATGGAAAACTATATGTATGTTTATCCAAGCTAAAGCAGGCATAGAGATGTCCCAACACTGTCTGTCTCATTTCTGCTCTATTGCTGGCTCACAGCTGATTAACTGGGAGTGCGGATAGAGCAACCACACGACATGAAAATCACACGCAATGTCCCTGTAATGGTCTCAATACTGTCAGCTTTTTACTTTTACCTAATGTTTCCTGGCCTAAATTGAAATATATTCAACTTTGCTCATGTAGTCATTACTCTGCACTGGCATCTCAACTACAGTGATTACTCATTGCTTCCTGAAGTCCTTTCCTAAGTCATAGGATCACAGGATAATTCAGGTTGAAAGAGACCTCAGGAAGTCTCTAGTCCAACCTCCTTTTGAAAGCAGAGTAAGCTATGAGGTCAGACCAAGTTACTCAGGGCTTTAACCAGAGTGCCAGACATGTCCTACACTGTGTGAATGTGGTCACCTCTCTCTGTTGCTGGAATAGTGCACCCAGAGTTTCCTAGGGTATATGCTTGATCTAGGCTTCTGCCCCAACTTTCCTAATATATGTTGTTGCATCCTGACACCTGGATCCCGAAGCCTTCTATGCCCTGGAGCAAGCTGTCATGTAGTGCTGAACTCACACATTGTATATGCGGAATGATTGAGTCATGGCTGAGTTAAGGCACAGAAAGCTGGTCTATTACTCTTGTTTCTTCAAAGAAGGTGATGTGAGAGGAAACAGACCTGGCCTTGCATTGGAGTTTGGTGTGGTCTCCTAAAAGGCCATGGTGCTGAAGAGGAACCCCTCAGGCAGTTTGTTCTATTCTGATTTTTGCTGGAGACCTGGCAAGTGACTAGCTCCCCTAGGAGAAAGAAACATGTTGCTGGACCGACTGGACATAAGGTGTGTGAGCAAACTTCTACAGCAACCTAACAGAGATACACACCCCTCGCAGCCTGTTTACACATGCACAATAGCTATTTATCTGGGACAACCAGACTTTTGGCATATCTAAGCTACTTCAGTGAGTCTGCCTTGTTCCCAGAATCCTGGGCAAATATCTAGTGGATTTTTCCATCCAAACAACATATCTTGGGGAAAAAGAAACAAAGCCCAGACACAGTGGATAGTGCTGGTGGAAGCAGAGCAGAAGTAGGGTTAAAAACCACCTGATGCCCTTACAGCCTGATAGTACAGAAGTTTATCCTTAACTCCATTCTCAAGAGGAGGTAGCTAATTCTAGGTACAGTTAATGTCAAGACACAGCTGACTCTGCAGTTGCCTCAGCCACTGCTAGTTACTACTATCAGCTGATACTTGTGTGTTAGCTCAGTTCCGCTGCGCCAGTGCCTGCACTGAAGTGGTTGAGCTTTAAATCAACTTTTCCTGGTATAGCATGAGAGGAGTTTCTGCTAGTACTGATCTTAGTAGTTCATGAGCTAGAAAGCCCTCCTACTCTGCAGAGACTGAGGGTGGTCTGTGAGCACTTCTACCACCTTATGCTACTGTTGGTTAAAGCTTCATGTTTGGTCTCAGGTGAACTGTGGTGGTCATCAGTGCCTGGCTCCTTCCAGAAGACTTTACTCTGGAGTCAAACAGATCAACATACACTGCTATCAGACCAGAACAGGCTGACTCAGTGCCATTTAATATCAGTGACTGCTCACAGTTATAGCTTCCTGGTTAAGTTCTTTGGCTGTCATTTTGGAGATCTGTGTGTGGTAACTTAATATGGGTTTTCTCAAAGTGAAAAGAAAGTTCCAAAAAACCAAATGTCAACAGATCACATTCCATTATTTCTGTATATTGGTCCAGGTAAGCAAACACACCTTGGTAAGCTGTCCATATCCCTCCTGCTTTGCAACTTCCTTGTGTCTGTTGGTTGGAAAAACTCCTGTGGAGTATGATCACCATGACGAAATACCTGATAAAACAGATGGAATTCTTCTCATGTTACTGGGCTTTTTGTGGTGGATATAATCAGTGTAGTCGCAGGGAATATGCAATGATGATGAAGTACTGTATCTCTCAGATGCTAAATATATTCACAGTGCTTTTCCTGGGTCTAGATAGCTACAACACCTATTTGATTTATTGAGACAAATGTAACTGTTCTTTTTTTCCTAGCATTTAAAAAGTAATTATCTCATATTTTTCAAAGGTATAAAAACTATAAAATATTAATATATTTTACAGAAGTTTTATATATTTTAGGAGATAGAGACCACAACGTTAAATAAACAGAAAGCAAATAGAAGCATACAAGTAATTTTCCAGAAATATTAGAACATTAATATTTTGGTAGGACTAACTGGTAATTCAGAAGGAAAAAAAACCAAACTGCTGCTCTAGATACAGTTTCTGTGGCTGACTGGTGTGAAGCACTCTTTCTTGGCAGAAATTAGCCTAAAAAGCCACGTGTTGAATTTTTTTCACAAGAGGTACTCTAATATCTAAATATAGACTAAAGTGTTACTCTGAAAACATTGAACATGGTAAGGAATTTCACTTCAGGTAAAAGGTGCATCTATAAAGATACATCAAGATTTTCATTCCTGCAATGAATTCTTTCAGTGTCCAGAATAATTTCTGTAGATATGTGTCATATAATTTTAAAATTTTACCACTAGATTTTTTTATTTCTTAATCCAAGTAGAGAGAAATAAAGTAAAAAACCTGAAACATAAAAAGTATATAAGTGACTTACAAGCGTACGTGATATTCAGAACAAAATTCGCTCCTGCAAACAAATGCTACATGGTAATAATTCCAAATAGCATTAGTTTCACAGAACTGGTTCTATGTTGCTTGTTTGGGTTTCACATAATTTAATTTGATTTGCTTGTTAATCCACTGAAACAAGTAGAAGATGGAAACTATTCCATGGCAAAGAGGATTTCTGCACACAGTTGAAATTTATTAAATCCTCTTCTACAATTTAAGAAAGTATCCTTTAGTGATCTTAGTGCTATGAAAAAACATTGTTTGTCAATCCAGAAAGTTAAGTTCATCTAGGACTCTGCAAAGGAGAAAAAACTATAAAATGTTGTTTAAAATTGAGGGGGTTTTTTGTACACCACAATAGTAAATTTTGTGTATGCAGGAAACACTTAGATACTCACACAGTGTCCTCTCCCCCTCCCCTAGAGTACAAGAAGAGCAGTAAGTGAAATCCCATTTGCCCATGAACTGTCCACTTACCATGGACACAAACTTCAGTTTTCTTTTCGCTGTGGTTTGGTGAAGAAAGATGCAGAAAAGGCAGAACAGGAAACACAGACTCCAAATGAGCCTCCTTGCTCTCATCCTGAGGGTAGCTTTCAGCTGTTTTGCATGCCAAAGTCCCTGGCTGGATGTGGTGATACAGTAGATACGTGGCTAAGAGGGGAGGAGTCAGTTGTGCTCAGTGAAGTCTGAAAGCCAGCTGATGTCTTACCTCCTCCTTCCTTTTTTCCCTTCTTGGGTTAGTGCTTTTCAGGGGATTTGTGAAATGAAAATTTTGCATTTGTACTCAATATCTGTGTCCCAGGTATAACATGAAGTGAATCTCTGAGCCTTCTAATTCCTGCCCCTGGGAACTGCCAGGCAGATGAATGGTGTCATCTAGTCATCCATTGCTTAAGCTAGGATTTAGTATGGATCAGCCAGCCTTCTCAAAACTGAAGATGCTGCAGGTATGCTGTCTGTTGCTGTATGCAAAAGAGCTAGTAATGCATCCTCATTCCTAGTGCTCACACAGTCTTCTTTGAACACATTGTACTAGAAACCTAGAAGGAACACCTTTGACAATTGTCCTTTTATAAATGATCTCCAGAATTTTCCCTGGATTTGGCTGTGATCTGTAGGAGGAATAAACAGCAGAAGGTTTTGTCGCATGGGAGCAGAGATAAGACTAAATTCACTGCAAACCCCCCCCCCAAAAACATGAACAACTTTTCATCTCTACAATACATTGACTTTGTCTCTAGTGGCAAAGTCTGTGCCACTGTTTTCTAGAGCTATCCCCCTGATTTTCATACAGTTGAATTTTTTATTTTCAAATTCCTCTTGCTGCAAACACTCATCATTACAGCATACTTAAATCAAGAGTTGATTCTGTCTTTTCCCCACTATATATGAAATAAAGAAAAAAAAAATCTAGCTCAGAGACAGTGTTGCAGGAGACAGGATTGATTTTACAAGTTTATTGGTCTCTGTTCAGTCATATTCATGTGTTAATGAAAGCCCTGTTAGTATGTAAAGTAACATAGAGGGTTAGAGAGGGTTAGAGGGTGATTTCTTAGCAATCGAAAGCTCACTGTATGTAAGAATTTAAAAAAAAAAATTACTAAGAAAAATAATGTTGCTACCCAAAAAGATATTATAATCTCAAGCTAGTTTAAGGCACAAATAACAAAACTTTCCTTCATAATTATGAGATACAGGCTTGCCTAGAGGGATCAGTTCTCTTTCCTGAAATAACAATGCCGTAGCTTTCACATCTGCCAGATTTGTAGAAATTCCTCTGTGAAAGATTCAGAGGTCAGACTTTCTTAGTTCAAGATAGTTCATCTGTCATTTTTGCTTTTGCGTCTGACAAGTCTAACAAATTCATGCAGAAAGACCATATTTTTAATGGGGATTTGCCCATATTTATTGAGATTTACTTATTTATTCTTTAATGAGGGGCCTGAGGGAGAGGTGGGACAATTGATTAAGGCTGTTCACACTCCGTACATTTTCCTGCATCCACTGGCTGTCATACTTCAAAAATCTCTTTGAAGAGACTATGTGTTTTGCTCTTTCTAGAAGACACGACATCAGATGTCACTGCTAAAATACAATGGTCTGCAAGGCAAGGTTTTTAATTAGACTAGCTGGAATCTCTGAGAAAAAATAGGCAATTTCTCAGAATTACAAGGCCAAGATCTTCAAATACTGTATGTATGTCTAGCAGAGAACAGAAGCAAAAAAGTTTAGCTTTATTCTTTTCAAGCACCTATTTCCTCACATTTTATGTGATATTTCTTTAACAAGGAACATGAAATTACTATTACTTTGGACATGACAAAATATTATTGTAAAAACTGATACTTGCTTCCTCTGATCTGATCTTGGTGCTGGTAATTCTGTGGGAAGACATATAAAGGACTGGAGTTATTTTAAAGTACGCCACATTGGTTAGCTCTGTTC